GAGAGAGAGAGAGAAAGAGAGAGAGAGAGAAAATGGAAGAGAGAACAGAAAAAAACAGAGAAGCCGAAGTGCAATAGATGTAAACGAGATAAAACTGTTCTCCTACGGATTATTTTAAAACGTTTGACAGAAAATAATGAAGTTGTTTCAACAAGCTCTTTTCAGCCAGCTCTTCTTGTTAGCCAGCCATCTCTCTAATCTCATTTCATCTCTGATCAAGCTCGAACGATTTCGATGTACAATATCATCTAAATTGGTGCCACACAATTCAAGTGGATTACATTTGAACATGGAACAATATCGAGTTCTTTCGATTAATAGAATCGGTAGGAAAAAAAAAAAAAAAAAAAAAAAAAAAAAAAAAAAAAAAAAAGAAAGAAAGAAAAAGAAAAAGGAGAAAAAATCGTCGGTTGACTAACTACAAAAAAACTTTCTAACTATTTTGCGATTATTCTCAAAAAAAATTGATATCCAACGAGGCTTTACTACTTAAAAAAAAAAAAAAAAAAAAGGAAAGTAAGAATTACAAGACAAAAAAGATTAAATCCAATGAAAAACGATATAATGCTGGATCAATATTTGTTAGGAATAATTCATCTAAAACTATCAACTATCTAATCGGGATATTATATATATATATATAGAATATATAGAATATATAATAGGTATATATACAAAATACAATAATCTTATAAAAAACACTGATTACGAAAATATGATTGAAAAAAAAATTTTTCTTTTTTTCGCTTCATTCTTCACTCGGTATCCTCGATAAATGTATTTATACAGAGATGCTTTCATACTCAGACTCAAGAAATGTTACACAAAAAGCTAGAGAAAAAGATAATAATAATAATAAAAAAAAAGAAGAGAGAGAGATAGAGAGAGAGAGAGAGAGAGAGAGAGAGAGAGGTATATTTATTTTAACGCTACTATTTTATATTATATACTTTGATGCAAAGATATAGATTTTCCTACCAAGAGATCGTACGTGGATATATATTTTTATCGTTATCATTATTATTATTATTATTATTATTCTTATTATTATTATATGGTTATTATTATTATTATTATTATTATTATTTACAGTATTTTTGCAAAATACTTTACTGTGAACATGCAGACGCTTCCTCAAGGTTCATCGTTGAGAAAATTTTCACGCCGCAGAGGACGGGAGAGAGCAAGTCGATCGACATTTCTCGTTTCTTTCTACCGAGATTATACCGAGGCAAACGAATGCTTCCAAAAATCTGGAAACAGATTTCATTATCGATTACTCTCGTAAACGCGACTTAAACTACTAACTAAAAAATTAGGATTTAACATTTTCTTATTTTTTTCTGGTTTTATTTTATATTATTTTATGTTATTTTATTTTATTTTATTTTTTTCAATGTCGATCGACTTCCTTGAACTTTCTTGACAAATCGTGGGGTTGCAGTTGGTCGAATTTTCTTCTTGTGTATGTTCTCTCGTGTGTGCGAGTGTGAATGTGTTATGTACGTATTCGTGTACAATGTAGACACACACATGTACGCGTGAAGATCGTGGAAGTCGAGATGGAAGATCGAGAAAAGAATGAGTTCGTTTGTGTTGTGTGTGTGTGTGTGTGTGTGTGTATGTTTGTATGGAAAAGAATTCTGTGCAAGAAAAAACATCAGTGTTTCTTTTCTTTTTGTTTAAGCAATTGACTGTACATGATAGAAATAGATAGGTAGAGAAAGATAGATAGATAGATAGATAAATAGATTGATAGATAGATAGAGAAAAAGAAAGAGAGAAATAGATAGACAGAGATATAAAAGATATAAGAGATAGACAGACAGATAACAGAGATGTAGGAAGGTAAAAGGTAAGAGTTAACAGATAGAAAAAATTCATGGCTGCGTTGGTGACTTTTTTTAATCAATTAGTGTGTAGAAAAACGTGTGTAAAATCGAAACCTGCGTTTTATTAAAGAAAAAACAACAAAAAAAAAAAAACGTCAGCCTGTGAGTAATTTTTCTGTGTGTATGTGTGTCAACTAACCTCGTCCTTGTCCAAGCCGAGCTACGAAAACGTTAAACTGAGGTTAAAATTCGTTCGTTTAATGATTTTTCGTGATTGGTTTTTTTTTTTAATTTTTGTTAAAAAAGATTGGAGATAAAATCAAGTGAAAAAAGGAAATTATCATCCTCTTTACTTTTACTCTTTTCTTTTGGAAAAAAACATCATTGTGACAATGGGGCTTAATTAATAATCGTTCATAAAAAAAAAAAAAAAAAAAAAAAAAAAAAAGATTTGCTTATCCCCTTATCCCTCTCGTCAGAGACGTGTAAAAAATAAAAAAATCAATTTTACACATTATTCGCAGGGAGATATGAAACTCTCGCCAGAGTTTCTCGTAGATTGATTTCAACTTACGCATCGTGCTCGTGAAATAAACTTTCCTGCACGCGCAATTAAAATTACACTGCCCTATTTTTGCTCCTCCAGCAAGAAACACAGGGAAGAAGGGGGTCACATAGATTACTCGCAGGTGCATTATTATTTTTTTTTTTTTTCTTTTTTTTACGCGGTCGATTTTGCGTTTCCAATCCTTCGTCTTTTCGTGATACGTATATATATATATATATTTTTTTTTTTCCTCTTTTTTGACGAGCATCATGAAAAACAAAATGAAAAAAAATATATATATATATATTCACCCGAAGAATAAGGCGTGTATGCTAATTTTCCCTCGCGGAGGAGAAACACGAAAATTATGAGAAACGAAACGGAATATTACGAACGTAAACATAATAATTAATTAAAAAACTGAAGGGAAACGAAAGAGAGAGAAAGAAAAAAAAAGGAAACAAAAAGAAAACGAGACACGGGACAAAGAATACAGAAGAGAAATCTTGACAAGGAACTGACAATAAAAATCTAACATTTCGACAATCAGAGCAGAAACCTTCACAGCGAGAGATTAAATTTACTTACACATGTATAGATCAAGTGTGTATGCATACGTGTGTGTATAGGTACAAATTCAATTGAAAACTATTAATTATTCGTCAACTTATCTTTTTTCCTTTGTATATATTTCTTTCTTTATATAATAAAAAAAAAAATGAAAAAAAAAAAAAAAAAAAAAAAAAAAAAAAAGATTTTACGTTACAATGCAAATGCCAATTCGTATTTATATATTCTTCCAGTGAATTCAAAAGTTTGATTAAAAGATTTTTTTTTCTTTTCTTTTCTATTCTAAACTTTCTTTTCTTTTCTTTCTTCTTTTCTTTTCTTTTCTTTTCTTTTCTTTTCTTTTCTTCTTCTTTCTTTTCTTTTTTCTCTTTTACTTTCTCGATTCTTTCTCGATATTTTTCTTTGATCTATAACGTATGTGTACCATCTGTGAAACTTGTGTGAAATCGTTCCAGATAACGAGAATTCGTTAAAGTTATTTCTCGTTCGCTGGTACGTATATTGTGTGCACATTTAATAATACGTCGAGTCGACTAACTTTCGACAAAGAAAAAAAGAGAAATCATTCAACACCGAGAAACGTCGAAAAAAGGGAAAACGAACTAAGCACCAATCCGGTAAGACACACCTATGGGCACTTAACTTGGGCTCGGCATGTCATCCTAATCATATTTACGAGCTAACATCGACATTCTATAAACCTCGGCCGAAAACCTGATCGTCCGTCAAATCACTTTCGTTTTAACGCCACTCTATTCTCGTTTATCAATTTCTTTTTTTTTTTTTTTTAACCTATACACGCATATATATATATATAGTCTCATGATTATAATCTCATTTTGGAAACGCTCCCACGTTAAAACAATATTTAAATATTCTATTCGTCTATTCACGACACGATGAAATTTTCTGTGAATCTTATTTACCATCTTTCTTTCATCATCACCGTTAATCATCGTTATCAAAGTTCGATCAAATTTGAGAGAAGTAGAGAAGAATTTGTCTACTTTTCTTTCTCGAGTTTATCATATTTATGGATAAAAAGTTGGTATTTCGAAAGAAAAGAAAAGAAAAAAAAAAAAAAAAAAAAAAAACGAAAGTGATTCGACAAATGATCAGGGATTCAGCCTGGAAAGAAGATTCTCAGAAAACGTGGAGCGTGCGACGAAACTTACCTCGTCAGTGTGAGAGCCAACGAGAAAAAGGTCGAAGGGTATGGCCGCCACCAAGTCGATGATGAACCAACCCTTCAGGTAATGGACGGCTATCTTTGCAGGATGGGACACCACTTCATCGTTGCTATTCACGAAAGTCGTGCGAAAATTTATGATGATGTCCACTATGAAAGTGACGTCGACTGAAACACCAAAAGCCTCGTGAAAACAACGACTATATGCGCGTAGAAAAAAAAAATAACAACTATCGTTTATCCTCCATTATCGATTAAAAATTATCCTAAAAAAAAAAAAAAAAAAAAACGAAGCGAATACCAATAATATACTATATAACCAATAATACTATATACATATATATATATATATATATATATATATATATATACTATAAACAATAAAAGGATTAATCAAAAATTTACTTTTATACATCGAAACGAAACACGTTGAAAAATCTTGATCGAAATTATTTTTTTCGGATCGATCTATTTTTGCGACTATCTGCCTAAACATCCGCACACGACACAAGCTCTATCTACGAAAATAAATATCTCTGACCACCGATCTAAGTTTTACTCTAAAGCTCTAAATACAAATGATCTCTACCAAATTTGATCATGGCCGTAAGCGCGAGGTGAAACAGAGACTCACTGTTCATCACACAAAAATTTCACATTTTCACCCCGATATCTCTTTA